CTATTAAAGGAGACAGAGCAGTGTGATAAGCTGTACCCCAGATCTGCCTCTGTTCCATCTTCTGGGTGTTAACCTTAACCCACAGTGCATTTGTGCCTTGGTCTGTTCCCAGCATGGAACCATCCTGCTGGTGATGGTGTGGTGGAGGATCCTTATTGCACATTGCAGACTTTATTGCACATTTCTCGTCTCTGTGTCCTTGCAGGTAGTCACTGATCTTTTGTTGGAGACCTACAAAGGGGAGGCAGAGGGCTAGAGAGAGTGTGTCACTTCTTGGGGCTGTTACTGCATGTGGAAATTAAAGGCTGTTACTCGGTTCTGCCTTTCCAGTGCAGAGATAGAAGCAGCAGCACAGCAATTTCTGAAACAGCTCTTGTATCTTTGAAGAACACACACTGATTTTTTTTTTTTCCAAAGTATTTAAGTGCTGTTCTTCCCCTGACCCCTTTTTATCCCTTGGAGCATGTTAAGGAAGCAAGTATTGTTGGTGGCTTGCTTTTATTCTCCTTCATTTTTGCAGCTAAGTACGTGTCTGATAAGTGCTTGTACATATAGCAGTCTCTCCCTGTGCTGAGGGAAGGCAAATTATTAATCCGTGTGTTTGTTTGTGTTCCCTTATAGAATTAAGGTTTTATAAGGTTGTGAGGTTTTTTTTTGTTTGCAGATAATCATCTCAATGATCTCCTCCATGGAGCTTTATTTTGAAGGAGTTTTCCTTCTCTTACAGACTCTATTTGCTGTGTAACAAGTTCTCCTGGGCTTAGCCTCTGTATAAGGAGTTTCTTTCTTGGTCTCAGAGGGAGCAAAGTAGGAGGAGTATTTCTCTACTTCGAGTGATCAATTGTATGCTTTCTTCAGTGGCTTCAGAGAGCTGCAATTCTATCTGTAGCCATTGGAGTATTTATTAGACTTGGCTGTGGTGGTTGAATAGTCTGACTGGTTGCAGATACCTGGAAAACCTGGAATGCTCAGCTTGTATGTATCCTGGTGCAAGTTTTTTGGAAAGATAAGACAGTCTGTGAGAGCCTTATGTTGCCTTTCCCGCTGCTGTTGTTTCCATCAGCTTTTGCTAGAGCGAGTGTTGGAGCTGAGAAGGGACTGGCTTTGTGCATAGAAGATAGTCAGCAGCTCTGACAGCCTTTATCCCAGCTTACTTGAGGTTAAAGGCACAGCTTCAGGCAGCAGTGCAAATGTGAACAATCACTAGCTCAAGCCAGAGCTTCCAAATCAGGATATCGCACACGTAAGCAGGAGGTGCGGTGAGGAAACAATCATTTTCTCATTCTTTGCAGCTTAATAAGGAAAATATGGTTATTATATAACACAAGAACGCATTTTTCTTGATCTTGAAAGTTGACATAGAAAAAATAATTGAATAAAAACTGGCTGGAGCTCCCAGATGCTTCAGCTCTTCTCCAGAGCCTCTTTGATCACAAAAAAAAGAGCCTCCGTGCCGCTTGCTCTGCCTTGTGTGGCCCACAGGTGGTCATACCACTAATGATGAAATCTCCTGGGTGATCTGACATCTGCTTTTCTGAATCATACTTGCCTTGGGGTTTTATATGCCCATTTCTCACTGCAGCGTCAGAGCATTTCTTGTTGGCCTGCCTTCATAATTTCAGGATGCAGTGCTTTCTGCTGACACATGCTAGCTCCTCTCTAAAAATCTGGAATGATACTGAAACCAGTTTATTGCTCCTCTGGAAGGCACTTCTAAGTGAAAGACGTGAAGAGTTTATTTGTATCTTTGGTGTGTGTTAAGTGAAGGCTTGGTGTCCGTTGGGCAGGATGGGAAAGCTGAGATATTTCTCCTCTGCAGCACTTTGGTTTTTTGTAATTATTGATTGTGATAATGGAATGTGGTTAAGGAGATTGGCTGCTCCTTTTTTGCTACACTGATGGCTGTGATCAAGGAGGAATCAGTCTTGCTGAGTGACATTTGGTCTTTGCTTCCCTTCCTGCCTTTGGTTGGCAATACTTTGAATTTTTCCCATTAAAATCTTCCTTGTACCTGGAGGCCCCTTCTGTTGGAAGAAGCAGTCCTGCTGTTATTCTAAGCACACAGTCAGGCGTTACTCAGAGCGCTTGTAAAACTGGCTTGCTTCCCCAGTTGGTTTGCTCAGAAAATGTAATAACAGCTGTAGCAAGGGATTTTGCCCTTCTGGTCATTTAGAAAGCTGTTGCTGTTTTTGCTTCTTCTTGCTTTAAACTTGTTATTTGTTACCTTGCACAGAAAGAATCGTCTCTTGTATCTGACAGCAGGTTCTTACAGAGTCTGCCACATCTCTCCAGTCTGGTGGATTTTTTTCGGAAAGGTGAGAATGGGGAGCTCATGTGAGAGGCTGTGTCAAGAGCCTGTGAAGCTGAAGTTTGCTGATTGTCAAAATAATAAGAACACAAGCAGGAACACCTCGGGCTTTTCCTACTTTGCTCCACCAGTGTGAGTTTGTTTTTTGCAAGGCACTGGAACCTGAAAGGCAATCTGTAACTTCTAGGTGCAAGGAGAGAAACAGCTTGGTAGTGGCTGGGGAAGTGCTGCTTCAGAGCATGGGCTTCTGTCCATTGGCTGCTGGATGGAGTGTGGCTTTAGAAAGGTCACCGAAAGCATTAGGATTGGTGAGAATCTGGGAAATGATATTGGGGCTGAATAATCTCATCCAGCTCCTGAGGTGAGAAGCTTGCCCTTGTTATCCTCTGGGGCAGGATTACACGGTAATGGTTTTGATAAGCAAGTTTAACATATCCCCTTCTTGCCCCCGCTTCCCGCTCTGTCTCATGGCTGGGCAATTACAGCTGTTTCTCTGGCTGCAGTAAATTGGGTCATTGAACTGATCCGAGTTTAAAATAGGCATCGTGAAACTCAGCAGTATCGATGCAACGAATGAGTTGTGACCGGTGACAGGCAGGATCATAAACTTGTTTTGCTGCTGAAGCTGAAGTATGTTGTAGCTGCACGCTCACTGTGCTCGCCTGTCGCTTTGTTCCACTCAGTCACTCTGGTCAGAGATCTGAAAGCAAAAGGATTCAAGCTTGGTTACGGTCAGCAAATGAAAAAACGCCATCTGAGAATTAGCCGCCCTCCTTTTCAGATTAACTTGTATGCTTTACAAGTCAAAATAATAATTTCCTGTCTGCTGAATAGGCACAGTCACGAAGTCTAATCAGTGTGCAAACATTGCTGCTAAAGAGGATGGATTCAGAGCCTGCTGCCAGTGATGCATGAAGTGAAACAGAATGGGCCCGGGCTTCCTGCGGCAGCGCCAAGCCTTCTGATGGCTGGGCTTGATTTTGCAAATTTGTTGTCTATGGCTCTCCTTGGTTTCCTTCTCCTTTTTCACTTCACTTAAAAAAAAAAGACATACCACATTTCGAGATGGTACAGTAGGATCAAAAATGGTGAATTCAGAGGGGGGTGCTGCAGGAATGTCTGCAGGCTCATCTAATCTGATAGCCTTGCCTTTTGTGCAGCAAGGCAGGGAAATTAAAGAGTGTGTGAAGATCCCTGTAATTTTCACCTGCTCAGCTGCTGGTTGATGCTGCAGCTGTCTCTTCAGGCCCTTGTTTTCTGAATTCCTCCAACCTCACTTGTGTTTCTGCGTTTTTTAAGCTCCTCTGCATGCCCTCCTTTGGGAAAGGGGAGAGCCTTCCTCTGTCATTAATGAGGGTGCAGCAACCATGATGCTGTTTGCACACCGCAGTGCTCCCTGGAGCAGCTCCTGGTAACCTCCAAGTGCCACAGGGGAACATGTGCATCCTGAGACAAATATGTCCATTCCTGATACCTCATACTGCCATCCTGCTTTTGTTTGTTTCCATTCGGCTGAGTGAATATTTGCTTGTGCTGATGTACAGCACACTGCATGATGAAAACTCATAGTGAGCAGCTGTATGTAGACTGGGTCTTTTATAGTCTGAGTGAGCACAACACATGCAGACAACATATTTGAAAGGATTTGCTTAGGCCTAATAGCAAAGCTTCAGAAAAATATATGGACACTTGCCTCTGTTAGATCAGACTGTCCAAGCAGTTTGTATTTGTGAGTTTACAATTACTAATATGATCAGAGAAACAAATTTCAACATGTTCCTCTATGTCCCAGGAACTTTTTGTTGTTTTTGTGCACCAAAGCATGGGAGGCAGGCTGAGGGAACATTGGAGGAAGGGTGAGCACAGCTGGCAGCATGGAAACATGGACGGCTCACAGCCTTGTCCTAACTCTGTTGCAGAGCAATGCTCTTGGCTTGGCTGTATCTAGGAGCATGCGTAGCACTGCAGTGCATGTGTTGAAGACAACTGAAACGTTTCCATGACTGTTGAGCCCTTGTATGTGAAAGGATCCTGAAATAAGGAGTCTTTTTTTCAAGATAGTTACCAAAGAATAAGCCAGTTACCAGAAGTAATGAGCTGCTCCTGGGAGTCTCAGAATGGAAGAAGTCTCATTAACCTACTTGGAGCAAGGGCATGTGTGTACATGCGTGCCCTGTTGTTTTTTTAGCTGCCATTCTTGGAAGGGAGCAGTTCTTGGGTTTCTTGGAGCAGAAGTGGAAAATGAAATGTTGTGTTTTGCTAATAGAGTTGCATGACCTGAAATATATCCATCTGGAATATGAGAATGGGAGGAGAGGACAGGGTGATCTGTGACAAATCTTCATCAGCAGCCTCAACTGATTTTGCTCCAAAGCATGGCCTTTGTTTTCAGCATAGTACTGAACAGCAAATTGTTAATGATCATGCTAAAAATAAAATTGTGGTTCCTAAGACCATTCAGGCAAGCAAAAGGCTCCAACCTTTACTATAGCTACATTGGGTTTTTAAAAAAATCAATCCGTCAACCTTAAAATGTGCCTTCCTCATCAGCTCGTTGATGACCTTGCAAACACTTTCCTAAAATAGTTGGGTGGGCAGAGGGTGAAGTCTCTAAGTAAAAGCTGTGATACAGTAGAAGAGTGATACAATAGAAGTCTGTTTGCTATGATGTTCTTTTTGTTCTTTCCTTTAGGCACAATGACTACCGTAGCCCAGAAGCACTTTCTGGAAGGGCAAACATATTCCGTCCCCCTGATCCAACCAGATTTGCGCAGAGAAGAGGCTGTTCAGCAGGTGGCAGATGCACTTCAGTACCTGCAAAAGGTGTCAGGTGATATTTTCAACAGGTGGGTTCTTTCACATAGGGGCGGGGGTGGGGGCTAGCATTCAGCACTTGGAAATGGACTTCTGTGATAAAGCTAATGCAGTGAAAATGCATTGCGTTGGCAAGCAATGGAATTTCAGAAAAGGTCCAAATGCACTTCAATAAAAGGTTATTGGATTCAGGTACTGTCAAAGTTAGGCATAATTGAATGTCTTGTGTTTGCAAGAGATTGTTTGTTATTAGTTTCTAATTCAGTTGCAGATTCCCACAAATTGCATTGCTATTCAGCTCTGAGTATCTTTGATTCTTTCTTGGTCGTATTTTGAATGGAAGACTTTCTAATTTGAAGTATTTTGAAGGTCTGTCTTTCTGAGTTACTGTACTTGGAGCAGTAGAGTAGAAAATGTCTCTTTGTTCTGATCTCTGGACTTGCAAACTGCTCTTGAGCTACTTTTGAACTCTGTTTTTGTATATTGTTACAAGAATAGAGTGCATTAGTGCCCGTTCTTCTCATCAAGATCTCATGATCTATCTAACCTGGTGTCTTCAGCAATTCAACCCAGGCCTGCCACTTCTTGCACACAGTCATCTTTACATAGATAGATCTGTAAGACTATTTATATAGCAGATCAGAAAGATTCTTGGGTTTTCTTGCAAATTATAGTTTATCTAGTGTCTTCTTCATCTGAAGCCATCTTTGATATCTCAGTGCCTGGAGACAGCATGTCATATCATTGATATGGAAACCAGAAGATCAATACTGAAGCTGAGAGGCAAGAACACTTGCTTTGGTTTCAGTGGGGCCCATCATTGCCTCTTATGATTTATTATGGTGTGAGTAGGAATATGATATGTTCTTTCTTTTGAATTGTTTCTTTGTTTGATTGCTTTTTTAAGGGCAGTTTGAAGTCCTTCAGTTTTTGATAGCAATACTTTGAAAAACAGCCTCTGAGGGCAGGGTAGTCATGAAGGCTGAGCTCAGGTTACTGAGTAAATAAAGCCTTTTCTTTGGAAGAATCTTTCTTTGGACAGGGGCTGAAGGGCTCCTGGACAGGGCTGTGTGTAGGCTGGGCTTAACTGAACACAAGGCCTCATTCTTTTGTGTGCTTCTCAGTATGGCAACTCATGACATAAGGATGGGAAAAGACTTTACAGAGCTGCTACAAATATCAGGAAGCCACCCCTCAAGCCTGGGACTGATTGGCGGTGCTGTCCCTCTCTGTGGGTCAAATAAAGCTACTGATAATATAGAAGTGTTTCTTCCTTCTCTTCCCAACCCCCCCCTCCCCGTTCCTTCCCTGTTGTTTTTTTTTAAGCTCGCTGCTTTGCAACACAGTGTCCTGTAATTTCCCTAGGGAGGCAAGCCTGTTGTTTTGTATGCAAGTCACTTCTGAGTCCTGAGCAGTGACTGCGATGCTGTTCCTTCGTTCTTCGGTGCACTCATGACTTTTAATTACCAATTTTTTTCCAACAGCAGAGAAGGCTTCATTGGGCTTTTTGTTTGCTTTGCCTTTCCTCTGAGGTCTTACCTCTCCGATATAATTAATAATGATTTAGTAATTACGCAGGCATCTGATTAAAAGTTCCATGACCTTGGTTGTTCCATGCTAATCAAGGGGCAGAGCTTTCAAGGTGAGAACTTTGCCTTTTAGTGAAGAGTGACCTTTTTTCTTCCCTATCCTGAGATAAGGCAGCTCTATCTTCCATTTCCAGGAAGGAGCTGCCTTATCTGGGGAAGCTGGCTGCTCTGATCTGCAAAATGCTTGGCAGTGTTGACAGAGAGGAAACTTGTTCGTTCTGGCAGTCTCAGCTGAGTGTGTCAAACTCATTACTTCAGCATCAGAACATCTGCATCTTTGTAATACTGTTTTGTAGAAGCTGTTGGGTTGGTAGTGTGCTTCTGAGAGTGGCAAGCCAGTTTGTAATTTGTGGAAAGTGCAGTGAAAGAATCTCCCTTACTTTCTGTGGAAATAGGAATCTTTCCACAGATAATTATTTTATCCACGTTAGTTCATCAAAGTTTCTGCTTTGAGTTGTTGCTGACATGGTAGATGGGTATGAATTCTGCAAGTGAAAATGTCCGTCAGGAGCATTTGTGCAAGGGAGGTGAGCTTTTCCTCTCTTCATTTGGTGAATGACTGAGGGCAGCTGTGGTACTGTTGTGGTTACAGGAAGACTGTTCTGGGAAATCACCATGAGAAATTTCTGCCAAGCTGTTATTTCTCAAAATGCTTTCAGACAAACTGATTTGCTGTTGGCTTTAGCTATGGCGAGTTATGTGGTGAATGGGGTACTTGGGGAAGTTCATTATTTTGTAGAGCTTAAGGAATGTACAGGTGCAAAAAACGGTGTCAATTATAGCTGAGACCCAGTAATGCACTGGGGAAGGCACGGGAGAGCAGATCTGGCAACCCATAGAAATTAAACCTCTGTGCCTTGCTAACAGTGCACCTGGGCTGTGAGATGGAATCAGTAAGAGGGCAGCATCCCTCTGGGTCATGTTCCTAAACCATGGGAGCAGAGACCCATCCTACGTCCTTTGAGTGGAGAATAGTAAAGTACCATGTTCTGCATGGGGAAAGCACTGACCCAGGCAGGCTCTTATTTGCCGGGCAAATTGATGTCTTCTGTCACTGCTGTTAACAGTCTAGTTAGGACTCTTAGGAAGTCCTGTCCACTTGGTGCTGAAACCACTGTGTGAGGAGATTAAGAGGCTGGATGTACTTTCTGGGGTTTGTGTTTTGGAGTAATGGAAGCTCTTACTTTGTATATGTTAACTGAATTCATGTAATTAATCTGCAGTGGAAGCTGCAGAGAGGACCAAATTCATTGCCTGCAGCTACTGAGATTTTAATACATATAATTACTGCTGAAAACATAAATATTCTAACAGATCCAATCTGGCATAATATCTATATGAGTTTAACTCTTGGACATCTAAGGATGTGTATGTTTGGTGGCCCTGCTAGGCAGGGGGGTTGGAACTACATGATCCTTGGGGTCCCTTCCAACCCGGGTGATTCTGTGATTCTGTGATTCTGTGTGATTCTGTGACTATTGACATAGGCTGCAGTAGGAGGAATGACCAACTTTAGCACTCATTTAATGGTATCTCATCTGTTTATTACTTTATTACCAGCGTTTTCTGAGTGAAAGCATGTGTTGGAATCATGTGTTGTGGATTTTTATTTTTTTACAAAAACGTTATTCTGATAAGTACTTAAAAATGGTGATGGGTTTAGGTTTTCTGAGATGGCCCCTTGGTAAGTGAGGCCTTTGGGATTTCTCAGTTTCTGGAGAGAGATTTTGTTGCCAGGAGATGTTAATAACCTCTAATATGTCAGCTCATTATTCAGACTGTACACTTTTGTATAACAGATTTGTGGGAAATTGCCTATCCGAGTTATCTCATTTACTGTGATAGCAGTAGAAAGAAAACAATTACTTGGTGTGGAATGTCATTATCAAGGCTGTAGTCTCCTTTGCCTATAATCAAATCATAAGTTCTGCAGTAATTTCTCATGGACAACAGAGCCCTAAAGAAAGTTTGGGACAGGAATAACATTGAGATATAGAGAGGAAGTGCTCTGTGAGATGTGTGCCCTGGAATGAGCTTTGACAATGATTGCATGTCAGTCTGGATTGAAATAGAAAACGCAGACAAAATCTTAATTGTGAGGTGCATTTGGATGTTCCCCCACTTCTTCTCCATCATTAATCCGGATCATCAGTAGTGGAAATGAATGACTACAATGAATGACTTCTAAGATCATCCAGTCCAACTGTCAGCCCACCCCATATACACAGTGACCACATCCCTCACTGCCACATCCACATGTTTCTTGAACATCTTTAGGGAATGGTGACTCCACCACCTCCCTGAGCCTGTGCCACTGCAGCACCACTCTTTCTGAGAAGAAATGTTTCCTAATATCCAACCTGAACCTTTGAAAGTGACAAGACCCTTGTAAAGCAACAAGTCACCCCATTATACTTTGAAGGCTTCCCAGGGGCCATCTGAGAGAAGATGCTGGTCCAGTTTAGTTTCAGACCTCTCTCCTGAAATGCCCTAGGTGCAGTCATTCATTGTTAGGAAGGTAAAGCAAAAATGGTGACGTAAAGGAGTGGGTGTGTGGTTTACAGCTATGGAGACATGGAGCTTGGAGAAGATAGAGGAAAGATGCCTGCAGATGTTGATTTTTGTTGTAGAGATGGGTCCAGTTAATGTGGATTTTTTGTAAATGTAGCTGTTTGTAAGAAACTGCTCAGAAGTTTTAGCTCTTGTGTTTTTCTAGAAGCTGAATTTGAAAGCTTGTAAAGTGGAGCTTGAGAGATATTCCAGAGCTATTGGGAAAGGCTTTAAGAGTTGATACATGAGAAGATCAGTTCAACATGCCTGGATGGCTGATGGCAGCTAGCAAGAGCAGCCATCCCATGTACTCAAGGAGGGGGAAGGGATAGTGAATTTTCTGTAGGAGTCCAGATTAAGATTTTCTGAATGCTGCTAAAATCCCTAAGCTTAAAACTTTGTATGATATGAGACCAAGGCTCCATTCAGATACCTTGACAGCTCTATGGGGTGATGAGGTGGGGAGCATAGTTACAGCTGTCACAGCTTGAAATGAAAATGGAGTAGTAGGAATGTGAGACCAAATGGTTTTAAGTCCTTGAAAGATATTTCTATAAAGAATGAAACAAACGTGATGGACAGAATTCTTGCTCGTTTCACAGAGTGCTGAAAATCTGTCTTTTGGACTTCCAGAGATTAAATGTGTCTTTTGAAGGAGAAGAACAGAATGCTAAATTTGACTCTGCAAGGTTCTTTTTATGGCGTTGTCATTGAAATGTAGTGATGGTTACTTAAGCCCCTGCTCTAAGTCTAACATCGGCTCTTCCACACCATTTTCTATCACTAGCAGTCTGTTTATCTTTGAATCCCATTCCCCCAAAAAGACACTGATCAATCTGTTCTGCTTTAAGAGATTGAAAGGCAGGCTTGAACTTGATAAGCTGTAGCCTTCT